TTCCCACAAGAGTGTCCACAAGAGTGTTCCACAAGAGTGACCTACAACAGTGTCCCAAAACAGTGCCCCGCAAGAGGGACCCACAAGAGTGTCCCACAAGAGTGTCCCATAAGAGTGTCCCACAAGAGTGTCCTACAAGAGCGTCCCACAAGAGTTTCCGACAAGATTGTCCCACAAGAGTGTCCCACAAGAGTGTCCCAGAAGAGTGTCCCACAAGAGTGCCCCGTAAGAGTGTCCCAGAAGAGTGTCCTATAAGAGTGTTCCACGAGAGTGTCCTATAAGAGTGGTCCACAAGAGTGTCCGACAAGAGTGCCCTGTAAGTGTGACCCACAAGAGTGTCCTACAAGAGTGTTTGACAAGAGTGTCCCGTAAGAGTGTCCCCCAAGAGTTTCCTACACGAGTGTCCCACAAGAGTGTCCTACAAGAGTGTCCCGCAAGAGATTTCCACAAGAGTGTCCCAGATAGAGTGTCCCACAAGAGTGTCCCGTATGAGTGCCCCACAAGAGTGTCCCACAAAATTGTCCCGCAAGAGTTTCCCACAAGAGGCCCCTACAAGAGTGTCCCACAAGAGTGTCCCACAAGAGCGTCCTATAAGAGTGTCCCACAAGAGTTTCCTACAAGAGTGTCCCACAAGAGTTTCCTACAAGAGTGTCCCACAAGAGTGCCCCAGAAGAGTGTCCCACAAGAGGCCCTGTAAGAGTGCCCCAAGAGTGTCCTACAAGAGTGTCTCACAAGAGTGTTCCACGAGAGTGTCCCATAAGAGTGAGCCCCAAGCGTGTCCTATAAGAGTGTCCCACAAGAGTTTCCCACGCGAGTGACCCACAAGTGTGTTCTGCAAGAGTGTCCCAAGAGTGACCCACAAGAGTGTCCTACAAGAGTGTCCCACAAGAGTGTCCTACAAGAGTGTCCCACAAGAGTGTCGCACAAGAGTGTCCCACAAGAGTGTCCCATAAGAGTGTCCCACAAGAGTGTCCTACAAGAGTGTCCCACAAGCGTTTCCTACAACAGTGTCCCACAAGAGTGTCCTACAAGAGTGTCCCACAAGAGTATCCCTCCCACAAGAGTGTCCTGTAGGAGTGACCCACAAGAGTGTCCGACAAGAGTGTCTCACAAAAGAGTTTCCCACAAGAGTTTCTCACAAGAGTGTCCCACTAGAGTGTCCGACAAGAGTTTCCCGCAACAGTGTCCCACAAGAGTGTCCGACAAGAGTGTCCCACAAAAGTGTCCCGCAAGAGTGTCCTATAAGAGTGTCCCACAAGAGTGTCCCACAAGAGTGTCTCAGAACAGTGTCCCACAAGAGTGGTCCACAAGAGTGTCCCACAAGAGTGTCCTACAAGAGTGTCCCACAAGAGTATCCCACAAGAGTGTCCACAAGAGTGTTCCACAAGAGTGACCTACAAGAGTGTCCCAAAACAGTGCCCCCGCAAGAGTGACCCACAAGAGTGTCCCACAAAAGTGTCCGACAAGAGTGTCCTACAAGAGTGTCCTACAAGAGTGCCCGACAAGAGTGTCCCACAAGAGTGCCCTGTAAGGGTGGCCCACAAGAGTGCCCTACAAGAGTAAGATTGCCCTATACGAGTGACCCACAAGAGTGTCCTACAAGAGTGTCCCGCAAGAGTGTCCCGTAAGAGTGTCCCACAAAGAGTTTCCTACACGAGTGACCCGCAAGAATGTCCTAAAAGAGTGTCCCAAAACAGTGCCCCGCAAGAGCTTCCTACAAGAGTGACCCACAAGAGTGTCCTACAAGAGCGTCCGACAAGAGTGTCCTACAAGAGCGTCCCACAAGGGTGTCCGACAAGAGTGTCCTATCAGAGTGTCCTACAAGAGTGTGTTACAAGAGTGTCCCACAAGAGATTCCCACAAGAGTGTCCACAAGAGTGTTCCACAAGAGTGACCTACAAGAGTGTCCCAAAACAGTGCCCCGCAAGAGTGACCCACAAGAGTGTCCCACAAGAGTGTCCTTTAAGAGTGTCCCACAAGAGTGTCCTACAAGAGTGTCCCACAAGAGTTTCCTACCAGAGTGTCCCACAAGAGTGTCCTACAAGAGTGTCATTATGACATATGTAGTTTTTCGAACGTGTTTGCATTCGGGCTCGTGGGTTCCATCTTGTTTTTTTTACTATCTTTACTGCTTCACCGTAACGCAAACATACCTTACACACTAGAGTAACTCTACGCCCAAATGCTCTCAGGCCATCCGTCGTTTAGTTTGGATTCCTGTTCGCTCCCAGCCACGAAAAACTGCATTTGGCTAGTTATATCAAGCTGGAACGTGGCTGGATGTGGCTGGCACTTTACAAAAACACCATTTGCAGAAGAGGCAACAACCATTTAGGAACGTGACTTGTCCTGAATGGAGGATGTGCGCGGAGCAGTGCGATCCAAGTCTCCATCAGCAAGGCAGCCGGAGGCCAAGTCCATCCTAGTCCTGTTCAAGATGGTGTCATCCACCTGAAACCGCTTATTTGTACCTGTTCCTGCCCGTATGGCGTGTGTGAGTGTCGACGCCCACGTCGACTGTTCTATGCCTCTCATTCCGCTTCCAAGTTGTGCATGTTGGCCTTGTTTGGCCCCGCCATGACTGATTTCCAACATGACAATTGATAAATGGATACGAATAACCGAGGTTGCCTTTACAGGTTCTTTTGTTCGCATCAAAGTTTGTCCTTCAATGATACCAGTAGTCTTGTACTTTCATTTGTTTGCCGAGGCACAAGGTACAGTACATCATGGATCCAAAGCCAAAGGCTGACTGACCAGTTTATGTGCCCTGCTGCTACACTTCAAATCTCCACATAGGCTGAAGTTCCATTAGCGAGTGTTGGCAGGCTGCAAAGATGGTGGTTTCTGGCACCGATGATTCGGTGCCAATCTTTCCGAAGCAAGACTAGTTGGAGTCGCAATGAGTTCAGTTCAATGATTCAAATGTTTTTGTCAATAATAATTGTAGAAGGACTGGCATGGACTGACAACAAACTGCAAGAAGGCAGTGCTTTCCCAAGCTTAAGCCCCCTTCACATCCTGCGAGTTCGATACAGTTTCACCAGTGCTGGACATCGCGCCAGAAAAACATGTTGGAGAGGAAGCGGTGTTGCATCATTCATGTTGCATGCATCTTCCTGAACAAGCTTGAACATGATTGAATTTGATTGTAGACTTGCGAGTTCCTATCTACATCCTTACTGGGCTGCGGCAGGATGCTGAACATGCGCAACGGCGTTCGTTCGCACCTGTCCCAGGTTTGTCATGCAGCTTGCACCATTGTCGCACGCAGACGAATTGCATTATATATTCATTAATAGTTCAAGACCGTTTCCATCTTTTTTTTCCCATGAAAGAGAGAACCAAGGCAGTTTTGGTGGGCACAAAACCCAGTGCAACTTGCTGAGTGAACACCACATCGGCAATCAACGCACCTGTCTCAGCTTACAACTGGTGCAGATTCACGCGGGCATTGGCGTTGCTGTAGCAGAGCAGCAACAATTATATAGTATATAGTTGGTTAACTTGCTCATTTGCTGTGTCTAGCTAGCTGCTAGCTACACATACCTGGCATTGGGCACATTTGCAGATACAGTACATCAAAATTGCTCAGGAAGTTTGGGTTATTGCTTGTAAAGAGTGGTGTTTACACGTGTGACTTCGGACGACATGTTGATTTCTGAGTAGGCACAGAGTGCGCAAGATTCTACAACCCATTTGTCCTGTGTAAGGCAAGCGGAGCAGGCCAAAGACTCTGCATCATGGAGCACGTTGACAGGAAGTGCGGACTGTGGACCGTTGCTTGGGTCTTCCGAGCCATAGCAAGATCATCGATGTGCAGGTGGTTTCATTGCTTCATGAGCCTTTAGTTCAGACACGTGAATTGAACATGGACTGGCAACATCAATCTTTGGGGCAAAAGCGTGGTTCGCAGCTGTGAGATCCACCATCGAGAACTTTTGTTCACGATGGATCAAGAGTTGTGGGGCTTTAGAATATGCAAGTCAAGTCATAAACGAAGCGATCATTTCCTGTGCTTGCCCTGTTGGCTTGCCCCGTTGCCCTGCAAGAGTGTGCGTGAGACTCAGAGCATTTTTTCTAGCCGAAGCCGGGCCCCAATCGTTCATGCAAAGTGATTAGGAAAGGGACCGAAAGGCCAATCTTGGGAGTTGTGAGAAAGGGAGGCAAATATCCAACTAAACGAGGCACCAAGGACACTTTGTGATCGAAAACGGAATATTTTGACAAGGAACTTGTCCTGTGAATTTGTGGCTCAAGTTGAAATACCCATCTGGGAACGGAGTCACGCAGCAAATACTATTTGAACTTCTGATCAACTGAAGCAGGCTGGAGCTCCATGTTCTTTTGGCACGGTGCTCCATTCGCGGCCCTTGGAATTCATCATGTTTCATCGGTTTTACCATCGGTTTCATGACATTGTCATCGTTTCACGACATTGTCATCGGATGATCGTGCGATGAAATTAGGGTTGGGGGAGGGGGCGTGGGGTGGCTGCATGGAGGTGCAAGCAGTGGAGTTCCCTTGAAAAGAACACTGTCTCGAGAGCGGTCCCGTAGAGATGACACGAATGCAATGACAAGTGCGAAAGCGATTGCAAAGCAAGCGGTTGTTAGTTTTCTGTGAGCTTGAGCCAAATACGTCAGTCATGTACATAAAGGTGTGAGACCAGACAGGGGTTAATTGGGAAGCAAAAGAAAACACATTGGGGATGGGGGTGGTGGAGCACCACTTCTCATCGGTCTCACAACTCTGTCATCGGTATCACAACACTGTCATTGGTTTCGCACCATTGTCTTTGGCTTCATACCACTGTCATCAGTTTCATAAAAATATCATCCTTGGAATTTCCTCTACGGATTCATTGGGGCCTGGTGGGCTAAAGCTGGTAAATTCTGTGCGGATGAGATTTGGATAGATTTGGCTTGTTTGGACCATGTAGGCCAGGGATGCGATTGTGTAAAGAACAGAAATGAGCCGACAGGGGTAGGTGGGGTGATTGAGATGGTTTAGTTATCCCAAGTTTGAATTTCATGTTTATAAGCAGGGGCCCGGGAGTGTTGATTCTGAAGAAGTTTCAGGGTAGAATATTGATTTTGAAGAGAAAAGACGAAGACATAGTTTGAGGATGCTTGAGGGTAGCGCATGTTGCTGCATACACATGCCCAAGCACAGTTAGCGCACCTTCACAAGGTCACTTTGGAAGCAACAAAGACATGCTGAATGCAGTCCAAAATCAAGATGGGACAATGATGTTGTACAAAACATATGACATATGTATGGTTTTGCATGTAGAGGATGCAATGTTGTCAACCTGCTACTTCAAGGAAATGTGTTCGGCGCTGCCCTGGGTGTTGGTGTTGTTTCACGCTTGTGTACTATATACATGTCTCACTGACTCAAGGAAAACAGGCGTTACTTTGCGGTCTAAGAGGCCAATTGCCTGTATATACACAGGTTATCAGCCGTATCGCCAAAAGAGCGGTACGTGCTTTGGGAAGTACGCCGTTGATATCTGAACATGAAGATAGTGACTTGCTAGTACCTGTTCCTCCCGAGCTTTTGAGTGTTCTGCATTCAATCCCGCCGGGAACCTGGAGCCTGCGACCACTCCTTCACCGTTCGCATCTCCAACACCAGTGATCAACCAAGTAACAAGCAGTCCTCGTTAACCAGGACCGATCAGGAGAAGTTGCACAGATTGCTGAACTAAGGCATCAAGCGATCATGTCCGAAGCTCAGAGTCAGTTTCAGGAGGAAGCTAGACGCATGAGAGAGGAAGTGGTGAAACAAGCCAGAGACTTCGTCATGGAGTCATCCAGAGCAAACGAACAACAAGCGCACGAACAGCTTCGAAACGCACATCAACAGCTACAGCAGCAACATGAAGATGACCGCAAGAAAATGCTAACACAAGCAGCTCTTGAGCGACCTGAAAATGTACTACAAGAACGGTCATTGGCTCAAGAGCGGGAGAACAGTTTGCGTGCTGAGCTTGCCGAACAGGCTCGCATCATAAAGGAATTGAGAGAAGGAATGAATAGCGCGCCGGGGAACCGGATGTCGGACATGGCACCGGAAGGCGGATCCAGTTCCTCAAAGGTCCCACCTGGAAAGGTAGCGACCGGCGCGCCACCTCCTTCACCTCCGCATGGTGGGACATCACAGCAACGCTGATAGTGAGAGATCATACAAGAACTAGACGACGGTTGGCCCGAGAGCGAGACATGTAATTGCCCAGCACTGTCGAAAAGATGTATAGAAAGAGAGAAAGAGAGGGTGGGTGTGAAGGAGTGACAGTGTGGATGTGCAGGTGTGATATAGATCTGTAGTGGATGTACAGATGTGATATAGATGTGCAGATGTGTGTGTGTGTAGTGAGGTGGAGAGGTAGATCTGCGGATGTGAGCGTGTGAAGATGTAAATGTAGAGAGGCGAGGGGGTGTAGACGTAGATGCGTCGATGCAACGGCAGCGCAACGTCAACCTTAGTTGCGCAAGCACAACGCTGAAGAGGTTCAAATAGAACTGAAGAACGTACATTTCACACTGAAGTTTCCACGAACAGGGCGACCTGAGAGTAAACGACGTCACGATCATGACAAGCGACTCGTGTATTCCAAGCGAACATCGTTTGTCTTAAGGTGAAGTACACACATACTAACGTCACGATGACTCTTTTGTGGCAGCCACTTATGAGTAAGCAAAGTAGCTAAAATTTGTCAACCTTTGAACAGAGCCGGGTGGCGCGAGAGATGACTCAGCCGCGAGAGATGACTCATCCGCGTACTAAAGTTGTACTACAAAGTCGCCAGTTCTCAGCTTCCAGCTCCACAGATTGCTCCGCGTGCTAAAGTTGTACTAGAAAGTCGCCAGTTCTCATCTTCCAGCTCCCCAGGTACTCCGCGTACTAAAGTTGTACTACAAAGTCGCCAGTTCTCATCTTCCAGCTCCACAGATTGCTCCGCGTGCTAAAAGTTGTACTACAAAGTCGCCAGTTCTCATCTTCCAGCTCCCCAGATACTCCGCGTACTAAAGTTGTACTACAAAGTCGCCAGTTCTCATCCTCCAGCTCCCCTGATACTCCGCGTGCTAAAGTTGTACTACAAAGTCGCCAGTTCTCAGCTTCCAGCTCCCCAGATACTCCGCGTACTAAAGTTGTAGTATACAAAGTCGCCAGTTCTCATCTTCCACCTCCCCTGATGCTCCGCGTACTCAAGTTGTACTACAAAGTCGCCAGTTCTCAGCTTCCAGCTCCACAGATTGCTCCGCGTACTTAGGGGGCCACCCACTTATAAGTTAAGTTACGTTATAAGTTATTGAAAGTTAGGTCCTAACCTCGAATAATTTGGTCCTAACGTTTATAAGTGCATGGCTGGTTCGGTGGACTTAGGTCCTGACTTAGGGAGACTTGTAAGGTTTGAACCTTAAGTTGTGATAAGTTGTGTAAGTGCAATGAGCGAATCGATCTGTTCGGACTTAGCGGAGTTAGCCACACTTAGCGAACCCATAGATTTTCAAACCGTTTCGATAGAACTTTGCATAAAACACATGGAAAAATGAAGAATACAGGAAGCATGACGCTTGCGTTGAACGCTTGCGGTCTACTGCTGGCTCCTGCGTACCACGTGGAGAGCGCGCTTGGCCTACTGGGGCCTCTGTAGGACAGCCTATAGAGAAGAGCAGCGGAGTCAAGCACAGCCCGCGAGGAGAGAAAAGTAATGAAAAGTGAGTCTCGTAAATGTCTCGTGGGTCGGACAGGGGTATAGTCTCCGCAATGTCTCGTGGTGTCTCGCAATATAGCAGTAAAGGTGGGACGTCCCTAAACATAGCACGGTGAGATGTCTCGCGATGTCTCGTAAGTGTCTCGTGGACTCACGCACAACGTCGAGATTCGGTGGTATTCATTTGAGGGCATGCAGCCGGCCTCAAGAGAACGAGTGCGTATAGACATAGCCTTTCAGTAAACTGCGTGGCCGAGAGACGTGATGGACGAGTATATATACATTGCATATTTGATGGTATGTTGACCGCTCTGATACACTTTGCAACATCGAAAACAAGAAAAAACACACGTGCTTGGTGGTTCGTTTTTACTTGTGGCACTTGCAACTTAGTTAAGACACTTATAGGACTTAAGCAACTTGTAAGTAGTACTTAGGGAACTTAGGTTTTATTAGTTTTTTTAATAACCGTAAGTTGTGTAAATTACTTGTAACTAACTTATAAGTTCTGTAAGTTCCTGGACGACCAAAAGTATAGTCTCAAACAAGTTTTAAAAAACCCAAAAAATTAGAAAAATAAATTTTCGTCTTGAGATGGACAGGCAGCTGTGAGAAAAACTAAGTGTGAGTTTGCAGATCCACGTGCCTTCGTGTCAGACCACATGAAGCGCAGCCACAGCAAACACTCCCTCAACACCTCAAGCTGGAAGTCTGCATCTTTCTCAAACCAAGGCATGACAACCATGATGTTGGCCACGCTCATCCGAACATGTTCTGCGCACAGGCTGGTCATGTCTACCAAAACTGCTCTTGCTCTTTGAACTTCAATGGCAACTGATGTTCAATGATTGTTTCTTCAGCTTGATTCAGCTCAACCCTTTGAAAAATATACAGGGGTTACATATAGGTTGGCTGGTGGTCAATTGATGGGCTAGATCTAGGTTGGCTGGCGGCCCATTGGGCCGCCCAGATGTGTTGGTCAATTGATGGGCTAGATCTAGGTTGGCTGGCGGCCCATTGGGCCGCCCAGATGTGTTGGCCCAGCAAACGCCAGCAAACGGCTGACTCATGATGGATGTTGCCCCTGTATAAAAAACATGCGGCTCATTGAGCCGCAGGTTGTGTCTCTTGCACAAAAATATATACATTGAACCGCGTGCCATCTTGAGCAGATGATGGATGTCGCTCTTGTTTCAATAATAGACCTGCGGCTCATTGAGCCGCAGGTCGGGTCTCACGCACTAAGCCATCTGCCTTCATCTTTCGCCATGCCTCATAGGCGTCAACCACCATCTCCGCCGTGTAGGTCTCCGGCCGATTGGACAGCAGGATGGTCCCGTCCGCCAGGATGCAAAACCCGCAAGGTGGCCGCATTGCCTCCAGCTGCTCCGCATACGTCATCCTCCTAGGCTGCACAGGCTCCATCTTCAGCAGTACCGGCAGCTGAGGACGCGTCGCATGAGCAGCGCACACTTGGAGCCAGCAAACGCCAGCAAACAAAAAGCATTGTTGCACTCAATCAGCAAAGCTCTCAATCAGCAAAACTCAAATCCTGACTCCTGGATTTTTTAAAAAATCAGGGAGTCAGGAAATGTCTAAACTCAT